TTCTATCATTCGACATGAGAATTCAAGATGTAATAATTTTTTTAATAGGATCGCAAAGTTTCTATAATTTTGTACAATGTTTTACTAATGTAATATCTAGTAACTGTTAAAATTTCAATTCTTTGTCATTGTTTTTATGTAAGAGTTCATACAATCTTAACGAGCGTGTTACGTTCAATGAAAAAGAGAAGAAAAGAAAAGAAAAGAAAACTCTGAGGGAAGCCTGTCGTCTTGTTGTCGCCTGACACTGTCGTACATCCACGGGGTAATTGCGGTTGTGCAATAATCGATCAGTGCACCGCCAGAGCAATTATAAAACGCATCTCCCTAACAAGCGGTGATAATTTGTTTTTGATTTGATGAGATGAAACGGAACGATCTGCAGATATTAGTCATCCAGCAACGGTAAGTAGGCAATAACCGTGGAGGCAGCTGTGAAACAGGCAAACGGATGGCTGATAGAACGCAGATAGTTACGCGTTACACGGTTAGTTGCGCGTCTGCGGATACCATACCTGCCTACGCGAAATTTTCCTCCTCGCGATCGATCCAGCGATATAGAGAAAAGTCACGGGGTCAGATTGCCAGCCGATTCTCACGGTTCGACAAAACCGAAAGTTTACCGAATAACGCTTAGTCTTCAATTGTTATTATTATTTATTATTCGAGGTGCGCGCGTTTGTCATGTGGGACGGTAATAAAGGATAGAGGCGTGTATCGCGTAGATCAGTAATTCTCAACCGTTTTTTCGTCACGGAATACTCTTAATAATTTAAAAATTTGGCGACATACTTCAAGAATCTCACGACGCACTAATGGTTGAGAATCACTGGCGTAGATAAATATTATACGCGTAATGTGATACAGTTTTTTATTTTATTATCTAAAATTAAACAACATATTGTTCGCGATAACGTTTGAAGAATGAAATCGCTTCGTTAAGGTAGAAAAATTATCTGTCGCGTTAATTAAAGTCATGCCGGGACAATTGTGTAAACAGATTGTATTTTACGCATTTTGCATTGGATTAAATGAACATGCAACGAACAAAGTACAAGCTTTCGTAACGAGCGTTAAGCAATTAATTAATTCCTTTGACACGAATATAAGATATCGCACGATGTCGCATTTTCATCCACGAACACTTTTGCATAATTCTAAATATTATTTTGCAACTTCTACTAAAAGTATGCCAATTTAGCTTGTACCCATTGTGCAATTTCTTTAAATAAAATTTTAATATCGTTCATGTTTGGCATCGTGCATTCTACATACGTAAATAGTATACAATTGTAAACGCAGTCATGAAAAGAAAGTGCAATGAATCAATCGATATGCTAATGTAATCAAAATTGAAAAAATCAATTCTCAATGAAGCTACAAATATTCCTCGAATTTTTTCGATCTATGCAAAACAGAAAAAAACGGGTTATCAAATCTGGCAACAGTTATCTAAAAATGCAATGATACATCTACCATTCAATTTAGCGAAACGAGGAACGATTCATCCGGGGGACCAGATAACGCTCCTATTTATCATACGGAAAGCCCTGGAGGGCCGTGAAACGAGGGGAAATTTCATTATCGTTTTAATAGCTTTAGAAAAAGAATTGCCCGGCAAACTCGTCCCGATCTTTTCTAATAAAGAGATATCGATAAGAGCAATCACGGTAACCAATTTTAGCAATTTAATCAACTAAATGCAACATTCAATACAGAACCTTAAATTTCGCGTGACGCTCAATTCGTTTCGAGCTAATCGATAATTAATGCCGGTGGAAAGAAGTGTACGCTTCGGACAACTGAATTAATCACTGCAAAAGTCAATTTTCTACTATCCTCACTTTAAATGCTGTCTGTATTTTTGTAAACTATGTTATACCATTCAATTACAATAATAACAAAAGTACATTAATAAACAGGTTTGCATCCTATATGGTATACAGGATCCCCCATATAAATCGAGTGTGTATCTTTAAAATATAAAGATAATTAAAAAATGTTAAAACTGTTTAAGTCGAACTTAAATTGAGTAACCCCGATTTCAGCAGGAGCGGATGAAATTCGCGAAAACGTACGAGCCGGCTAGAATTCAGCTATGGTACTCGGCCCAAGAGATTCTCGGGTAATTTCTCTCGTAAATATAGCTGTGAACGCGGACGCGCAACAAAATAACATATTAAACACGCGCGCGTTGATCTCTCGTCAGGGCATCCTGACATATTTGTTACCCGACGTCACCTAATCACCTACGCGATGTCGGTCAGCGTATACCGCCGGCTGCCAGCCCGTTGTCATTACAATAAAGCACCCGATTAGTCAAGAAGCGTACATAGTTGCAAGAGTGGAAGATGAGCGAAATGCAGTCTCCGTTAAATGAAATTCTCAAGCGATACGGTTCAGCGAGAAATCCAAACGAACGTCTGTATCATGGACCTTCGTTCTTACCCGACACGCTGAACCCTTCATTGGTTTTTCTGATTCGACGAGATGACGTAGCATGTTTCAAAGACAAATAAGAACAATGGATTAAAAGAGTCGTGGTTGAGTTGTATAACTTTAAAAAGAACTTAGCAGCAAACCTTTTTTGGACTCCTCACGAAGGAGGAAATTGGTAAAAAGGATCAACGATTTGATTACTTTGTACGAAACGTTTGAGTTTTTATTAGGATGTCAGGGTAAATAATGCACTGTTTTTAAACATCGCCTTCTTAGACGTTGCGTGATTAAGCTGGATTAAACATTCCCTAATACATCACGTTTTTCATTAAACGTGTTCTCAATTTTCTTTAACCAGACAATAACGTGTTCCCATAACGTGCTTTATTATCACACTTGTCTTATTACTACGACTGTCGTTCCGTGCGCAATGAGGCAACTATGCTGTAACGCGTGCCGTAAGCGTTACATATGACCGATGGGAAACGTATTCTTGGCAGACAACGCCACAGGAAGTTTAGGAAACATTAAATGACGAAAGATTAGCTCGTCAATCAAATAAAATAAGCTCTTCGGGTACTGCCAGTCGTTTCGAGTGCATTGTTCTGCTTAAAACATTTTTAGAGTAGATGGATTTGTGGCCATCGCACCGTATTTTGGTGTTAATCATTGAGCTATTTTTATTTATATTTATTTCACATAACATGTATTAGTATGAATTATGAAAGAATATTAATGGTATAATCTTAGATAAGGTCGAAATTAGATATTGGCAAAAAATGGTACAACCAAAATGCAATTGTTCCACCTTTGACCACGTAATGACTATGAATAGTGCGTTCCATAACCATTTTTGATAGTTGAAGCATGTAAAGAAGCACAAGCTCTTTTTTTGGCACAAGCATTAATGGCCACAAATGGGGAAAACGTGATAATGCAATAATTTATTCAATTATTATGGTTCGAACGTTGTATACTTTATAATAATTTTGCTGTCTGTATAATTAGAACTAGATAGACACTCTTCACTTCTTTAGACATACTTTTTCACCAATTATATGTTATTATACGATATGAAAACTGTTAAGGTGATAAATGGCATATCTACTCTATTTCTGTTTTTTATTGAATACATTTTATTTAGTCGAAGATATAATTTGGAGGTCCGTTAGTTCATCAATAAATTGTTGATTAAATATGGTTTTATCTTCACCCGATGTTCCCAGGTCATTCCCCGAATGCAGCGATAGCGTCATGAACGTGGCGGAAAAATTGTGATTACGGGTATTCGTTAAAATTGCGATTCCGCGTCGAGATAGCCTCGGGGGCGAAACGCTTGAGATTCAGCCGGGCTTAATTGATAAACGCCACGAGTAAAGGTTAATTACAGGAGGGACGATCCCGGCCAGGAAATTCACCATGCCCGGCCAACTCAATTCCATCGATCGTGCTTCTATTTATCCTGTCACTCGATTGTAGTTTAATCGGACGGAGATTAAACGTCATGGAAGTGCACTTCCCTTTTTCCGTCTGGATTTATACCGCACTTTTCACTTAACCTTTGAACGGCGGGGTTTTGAAAACTCGAGGACAGACACGCATTTATTCGAATCTGTTTTCTGGGGGGGGTTCATCTCCCTTTACGACCTTATCTCGTTTGTTCGGATGGATATCTACTGAAATAATTTTCGTGAGCTTTCAATTTGCCACGTGACAAGGTAATATTGAATAACAAAGACGGGAACGGAAAAATGTTTCTCCTCGGCGCGCGATAGCCGCGTATGCAAATTCGTAGGAGGAAATTTGAGAACATGCCGGTTGTTGTATTGTCGCAATTATGCAATATTGTTAGAGCAGCGCGTCTAGTCATTTCCCGACAGCGTAACGCCTTCAATTCTGCGTTATGTATTTATGGTTCCATAAACTGCGAGATTTACGCACGACCAGGCGAGGGAATGAAACTAAAATCAGATTCTCCAAAGAAATAAAATTTTATATCCTGCTGTTGAGCTTGAACACGCCTCGTTCGAACGGCACGAGCCTCCGCGATCAACCGAGTCATTGAATCCTTTCACACAACAAAATTCCAAACGCGACTATTCTTAGATTTTTTAATGCAACTTTCAGATTACTGAAATATCAATGAAAATGTGATTTCTCGAAAGGAGAATTTTACAAACGGCTTGATTAGCGTACAGCGATTAGTCACCGGTTGAGATCTATGATTATGGATAGGAGAAGAAGGATGACAAGAAAGCCATAATCGACACGTTTATTGCATGTAACTAATCGGTCTAGAGTTAACGTGCCTCGCGCGTCTAATGCAATTCCTTCGGCACTAAGACAATGATCGATGAAAGTAGATCAACAAGTTTCCTCATCCATTGTTCTTTCAAATACAATTGAATGGATCCAAAGCGTTTTTTGATGATGTTTCGAGTTGAATAAAATTGAAGAAAGCATGAAACAGCGAGTATAAATAACTTTTGAATAACGATTGTAAAGAGTTCATAATATTATTTCGCTTTTCTTGTTTATTTTAATGTAATGTAATTTCTCTGTGTTTTTTCTGTATTCTCCATGAGAAACTATTTCTCTGAAAATTCGTCTTCGGCGAATGCGATTACGCGGATCGTACGAAAAGATATTTAGCCGGAAGGATTTTGACAGATCCTTCTAAATGTAAATTAATCCGCTGTTGAGGATTAGATCACAGCGAAATACGCTTCGCTTCGAATTCGTTCTATCCTATTTCTCTTCCTCCTTTTTTCATACTATCAGAATTAATCGTTTTTCTTCAGTTCTCTCGTTCTACAAAGAGCACGGTTCAGTTCTCAATTTGCATTTGTCCATGTTACACGCGGAAAGAAGCGAGAGCAAGCTCGGTGCATCGCGTGTTCAATAGGAAAGTTGATCAAAGAACATTCAATTTTTCCCTCCGGATAGTAAAAATATTGGATATCGTTAAATAATAGGATAAATTCGAGGAGGAGAGTTATTACTAAAATGACTATGACCTCGATGTTAAATTCCAATCGATACTCGATGGAAGAATTGAGAAATGAATTCCTATCCTCGATTTTCAAAACTTTCACTTCATTTGAATTACTGCCATTTTCAATTACGACCCCTTTTCAATTATGAAATAACAATAAAACGAGCGGCCGAAATAAAATCCAATCAATCTGTTCTCGACAATGTGTAATGTTTACATCATCGCTGGCAGTAATTAACTGATGAAACCGCTTATCTACAACCAATTGTGAATTCATCAAGCGTATCTAATCGATGACAACATATATATTTTAAATATAATCGCAGGAAATTCAAATGGAGAAAACGTCCCTTGTTCGAAATCGTTGACAAAAGTACATTTTTACGAATTTTTCTTTACTTCCAAACAACGTGGTCTTCCGAACCGACGTGCACGATTGTCCTTATAGAAGACAAAAAATTTTTTTATCAAAGCATGGAGCTCTTTTCACAAGAATTTTCGACAAAAGCTGCAACCCAGCGGGGCTAGTTTCAGATTTGTGCGAGCAGAAAACAGGCGCTGAGAGAAGAAAAACGTTGAGACAATAGGGAAAATGGTGAGGTTTTCGCGAGGAGCCGCGTGTAACAGCCAAGGGCCGGCCGAGGTGAGCGTCACGGATCGAAGCCACTCGACCTTGATATCAGCTCGAGAAAAATTATTATTTCCGTCCTGCGCGAGCAGAACACGACGACGACTACGTCGCGTCTCGTCGTCCCGAGCCAACGCCACCGATCCCTGTCCCCGTGGCTCCTTCCAACGCAACGTCCCGATTCTACGTCACCCGTCCACGTCGAACCGGCTGCTGGTGATCAATAATTTTTGCGCGCGAGAATGCGACCGACCGTTGCCGGAGCACACAGCTTGCTTCGATACTCGCGTTATCATTTAATTAATCTTTCCATGTTTTTAGAAGAATATCCCCATTCGGCTAAAATATTATACAACGCATATTTATATCATAGACATGTTACATCATTGTATCCCATTGCTAATTCAACCATATTATTCAAATAGCTACTTTACATAATTACAAAACGAAGCGAGAAATTGCACGGCTGCATAATCAATACTTGAACCATGTTCACCACGTGACACTAGTCATTTGAAATCAGGTACAGTTCGTAATCTTACTTTTCTCCAAGAAGCATCCTCGCGGTCGCAGGTCAGACTGGGGAACGTGTCGATGCGCAAAATTCGTGTTTCCATTCCTCGTTAATCCAATCCCTAAACCAACGATGCACCTCTTTACAGACCCGTTCACAGACTTCCTCGTGTTCAACAGTGAGCAACGAACTGGTAATGGTTTCCGGTGGCAGAGACTGGCGAGCGGAAGGATCTCGCGGGCGGATCGGGTGGTTGGACAGAGAAGGGAAACGTAGGAGAGAGAAAGAGCGATCGTAAAGGAGCACACCCGCGGCGTGACTCGAGTCACCGCGGAGTAGCCGGTGCTCGTGCTTCTGCCGACGTCACCATTTATCGCGTAGAACACCTTACATCACTAACGGTGTGTTGTATCCACACAGCCGTCATCCAGTTGTCATGGAACGACGTTCCCCTCACAGCTAGTATGCGTGCCTAGCCAGTTGCCTATGCAAGTCTCGGTAAGCTCTCTTTTCTTTCCTCGAGAATACAGTGTGCTAGTCTCCTCGTGCGCGCGCTTTGCCCGAGCTTCCCTCTCTTCGCGCAACAATCGTCGTCGCTGTGCTGACACCCCGCGCGCGCCTCCACCACGCCGTGCGCTGAGTTGAACGAGCGAGCCTCCACGCACTCGGCAACTCGCGAACTCCCGTATAATCTAAGCGCGCGGCGGACGTCGTCTCCGACCACCTCTTCCTACCGGGTCGAACGCGCAACTGAGTGATTCGTCGTGTTCGACTAGCTAATACGGCACCGCGCAGATTAGCCACACAGCGGAGCGACGTTCCGGGCAGCCGCGGCTCGTCGGGAACCCGTGGCGCGTTCGTGGCTGTGATAGCGCTCTCTCGGGTAAGAAACATGAGACGAGACCGCGGAGAGATCCGATAAAGAAAATAAACGAGAGATTTATGTATCGCGATACACGGGGCCGAGGGTGGAGGCCGTTTTCCTGCGGATATGAACGAAATACAACGCGGAAGCGGCGACACACTGGCCTGGCCTGCCGCTACCGAGCATCGAGTCGGTTGTGGGTCGAGACTCCTCGTATATGCGGGACCTGTACCCGAGTGTAATATAGGTCAGTGGGCCAGGGCGATCATGGCAACACGGACATGCGCGGCATTGCGCGCACCCGTGGCCCGCCGCCGCCGCCACCGCCTCGGCTCTTCGCTTTTGCTCCGCGATCGAGACCACGTTACGTGCCACGTTTATTGCACCCGACCGATCCGATCTCCTCCCGCGATACAACCTCGCCAGTTTCTGACCTACTACTTACCACTCGCTCCTTTCCCCCGTTCCTGTCGCGATACACGCGTGCACCTTGCGCCGCGCACGGGGAGAAAGATCGCGGGAAGTTGTCGGACCTCGCGTGCGACTCAGGCGATTCCTCAAGTTCGCAGGGGTGGCTTTCCTCGACGTGGTTTCGGAACTTTAATTGCGTGCGGGTAAACTGTTTAGGAAAGTGGGTCGTAGCGAGTGGGTGTCGCTCGCCCGTAGGGGACTTCGCGTTGCCTTTTTTTTAGATTCTTTTTTTTCGTAGCTCGAAATTTACGACGGGATTCATTATAACTGAATTAGCTCAATTGGAAAATTGTTTGTTGTACTAAGAATTTTAAAGAAATGCACGTGAATGCTGAGTACAATGATCCTTTTTTTTTTTTTTGCAAAATAAAGAAACAAGGAGTAAATTGGCAGATTGCGATTACTAGAATGTGAATTACGGAAAAAGTAGTGGACGCAGAAGTTGGGAGGAGCCAGACGGTATTCGCTTTCAGGAACGTAATTGCGTGAGCAATTACGCCGCTGTATAGAGCGTAATCGACGATCCAATATCACGTACTTTCCTCTCCGCGGTTTCCCTTTTTCCGTTCATTTTACTTGCTTCTGATTCCGGCGTTTCCCTTTCTACCGACGCGATTGCGGCCATTTGAATGTCACCGTGATGGAGCCTATTATCCTACAGCACCGTCGCCGCGAACGGCCCCTCTGAAAATTTGCTTTTTACGCTATTTCCACGATTGCGGGATTTGCAACGAGCTGATTGCGATACGTGGCCGACGAATACAAGAAATCGTTAGCGTTTTTATTTCGTGTTTGCCTCACGGAAAATATAGTTAATTTAATACGTTCCTCGAACTTCGGTTAATTCGATGAATCATGCCGCATGTACAATCAATTTAATGTATGTTAATTACGATTGTAATTATATTTGTTGAATTAAAATGGATTATTGGCTATAAAATTATAATCAGTAATTAATTAAATTAGGTGTTGGATTTGATTGGGTTTCTATTAAGCTCAGGAGCAGAAACATAAAATTTTAATGAAACACTGAACAGCCAATGACAAACTCAGTTCTTAGTTAGTAATACAAATTTCTTATGAACCATGCGACGTGTTTAATCGCGGAACAAAACGAATTCGAATCGATATCGAAATCGATTCGTACTCACACTTTTTATTGCGCAGCGACGTAATATTTTATTAGCCGCCTACTCGTCGCTCGTCGGCTCGGTGTCAACTCGTCCGCGGATTTTGCAACATTGCGAAAAAGGACTCGTCGGCGGGAATCGCGATACGCAAGATTTTTAGTCGCGCGAAATTGTATCTGTCCCGTCTGATTATTTTGATTGACACGCGGAATCTGCTCGCTTCTCTCATCCCCAATGTACTGATGACCCAAGTGATTCCGAAACGATTTCGCACACATGCATAGAAAATGTGACACGAAAATGTCTCACTATTTCTAATGCTTTTCTAATCCTTTAATGAGGGATCGGACAACTAGTGCCGTTTGCTGATTGATTTATTCTGCTTAGTATTTGCTATTATCGAATAGTATATACTGAGCTTCGTATTTGTATATACATGTGTCTAGCTCCTCTTTTTATTGGTCTCTTTTTTTCTTTGTGCTCTTCTGCATTTCCCTTTTTCGCTTGTTACATCGATATTCGGATTTCGTTGTTACGCAATCCCAAAGATGCTGACGTGCCTCGTGTCAAATATTTTATACCCTCTATGTCATCGCGACACGTCAGGGTCGCATCATTCTTTGTTTTTATCGCTTTGTTCATTGTTTGTGTGCACACCGTAAAACGATCGCTAATTCCTTATATGTTACCTGGGAAGTCCCAAACGATTTCGTTAAGATTGTATTAACCCACATCTTTTTATTAGACGTCTTAAACTTTTGGTAGAGATCTTACGAGTCATAAGTGCTACCATAATTATTAGATACTACATCATTTTATAATCAAAATACACGTATGTATTTCATGGACTGTTTGAAATTATTTGTACGCTTGGCGACATCCTCGTCATCAACGATACTCAACGTTTACCATCGTAAATTAAGGCGGAGCATCAGATGAGGACGTTGAAACTTCTTGAATTCGTTAAACTCTCGAGAACTTGAAACTCTAACGTCAGCGCCAACTCAAGCTTTAAACTTTCCAAACTTGTCTTTTTCAAGTGCAATTGTTTTCTCGCACTTGAAGTTTTCTTAAAAGTGAAACTCCACTTCTCGCAAAACATACACATATATTAGTGACCATCCAGAGAATGACTGGACACCTATATAAAATGTGTCCAAACCGGAAGTTGCATGTTCAAAACGCGAAACGTCAAAATTAAAAAATGAATATGAATATTTCCACTGTCATGAAGTCAGTAAAATACAAATTAACATTCCGAATGCTCTTTTAGAAATAAAAATGTCGATAATAATAAAATAATGTTACATTATTTTTTGTACATTTTTATTCCGCGAATTTTGTATAATGATCGAATTTAGACTATTTCCGGTTTAGACGCACTTTTCGCGGCTGATCAGAAATCAGAAGGTCACTAATGCATTTATCAAATATTTAATCTCGTACAGAACAGAAGAATTTGAGAAACAATTTTAACTTTATTTTCTAAGCCTCAGCTTAAAAAATATGGAACAAGAATATTATTTACGCGATTGTAATAGAAACCAAAGTAAAAACGTTTTTCATTGCGAAGCGAAACGACTATTTTCTTCGATTGAGTATCACGTCAGTGCAACAAAGGAATCGTTCTTTACTTTCGTCTTCAATATAACAGCACGGTTTCTTCTACAGTGACGATATCGAACCGATATCCCTTAGCGGGATCTTCTCGCTGCGTTTTATGTGATATTCGACGTACAAAGATTCTAGAAGTACCTCGGCCTCGGCCACAGACCCGTCGTAAATATCGCATGTTTGCCGCAGGCGTGACAAAAGCGCGAACCGCAATGCGAACATGTATTTGTCCATCGGTTGTTCGCGATCACGATGAAAAAATCACGACAGACACAATAACAAGATAAGGAAGCATATCGCGGAACGTACTCGGCTTTCCCGTTGCGGCGTCGAAAGAAAAAAGTGAACCCGTACCGGCCACGCAGCTCGCATCCTTTAGCAGCCATAAAATATGATTTCATAGCATTCGGAGAATGATGACGTCACTTCTATCGCTGAAAACGGACACGCCGGAATTTGATACCCGGTCTGAATTAGGTGCGACAACTTTATGCAGTTTCTTGGCTTCCGATCCCAACAAAAGGATTCCAAACTGGTTGCACGATCCGCGTTTTAAACGGCGCGTACCGGGACAAAACGATGCAGCTTCGAGAACCTCTGCCCCACATATTTTAATGAAGCTTTGAGAAATTCACTCCTCGCATTGCCGCGCACATGTCGCATTAAACCGGATTGATGTTAGAGGACAGAGCACTGACTGTTCGCTAACAACACTGTACTATGCAACATTTTTTTTTTGCAGTATCTACTAAGTGAATCTTAAATAATTATTGTCAAGCAAAAACGAAACCGGAAGCAGATAAATTCTATCACGTATCGTTTCCTAAAAATAACCGTGTTTGTACGAATTTATGATTTGGGGGAAAGTGAAGTATTACGTGAAAAGTCAATACGAGAGAAAATTCATCGTTGAATCAACAGATAGAGGAAACTTTCGACGATATATCCATGTAAACCACTTTTTGTTTTCGTACTTTTTAATAGTTGTAAATAATTGTTAAAGTTTGAAGAAAAAACGCAAATATTTTGAATGTAGTATTTTTATATTTATGTGGAAATCCGTTTATCCAGCGGGAGTTTGCTACACAGACATATTGGATTCTGCAGACATTACTCATAAAGAGATTATATTCTACAGAAATATGTAACATCTGATTTTTCCCGAAAATCATACATTTTTATAAAAACCGCTATTTTTCGGACACGTTACGGATTTGTTTTTGGTATGAGAAACGTTTTAAAAATTACCTAACAAATATCACAAAAGCTGAGAAGTTTTTTTGGTGGACTGTTTAATGCATGGAATATTTCAAATCTATACTCATTATTAGACTATAGATTTTGTACATTTATAGAAAAGCTTAAAATACAGAAAATATAATAATCCATTTGATGTGCAAGAATATTCATTATTCAGAAAGCTAAAAGGAGTCTTAATTAACATATCATTATTTAAATTGGTATCACAAAAGTTTTATTTTCCATAAAAATTCAACGCAGTCTACTCATTACCCGCTAAGCTTTTAGCAGTGGACTCGTATGTAATTGAAATACTTTTAATGAAGTTCATTTCGCTACATCGTTCTACCTCTGAAGAATTTCAATATTTGAACTTGAAAATTCTGAAAAAGTCTACTCCTTCAAAACACAGAATACCTTCACGGAGAAGCTCACGTACCAATTTTACTTCTCTCCCTGTCATCTTTTATTATTCTTTCATTAAATTTAATAATTCAGACGAGCATGAAAATTTTAAAAGGACATAATTAACTCTGTAATTGAAAAATTTCAAGAACCATGTTTCATCCTGTCGTTAATTATTCTAAGAGACCTAACTATAATTGATGTAAAAATAATTATGAACAGTTTCACAGACGCTTGAAATAAAGAAAAAAGTCTTCAGTCTTTCAAGGAGTCGCGGTGAGAAACGATAAAATTTG